ATGGCTCATGCTGTAATCCTAGCTACTCAGGTCGCAGAGATCAGGAGGATTGCAAATAGTTTGCGGGACCCTCTCTCAAAATCTACCACCACAAAAAAAGGCTGGTGGAGTGGCTCAAGGTGTAGGGCCCTGAGTTCAAGCCCCAGCACCTGCTCTCCCCCCCCCCAAAAAAAAGATGCCATAGTGAGGATGAAATAAGGAAATACCATGCTGAGTAAAAGAAGTCAGACACCATGCTGAGTAAAAGAAGTCAGACAGTCACAGTTGTATGAGTCTTATGAGGTCCCTAGAATAGAGACAGACGTCAAACAAAGTCACCAAGGACTTGGAGAAGAGGGGTAGAGTTTTGTTGAGTGGGTATGGAGTTTCTGTTGGAGATGATAGGGGAAAAGTTCTAGAATCATAGTGGTGATGGCAGTGTAACATCGTGAATGTTTTTAATGCCCTTACTACGTGAGCATTTTGTAGCCCAGCTGGCCTGCAACTCTCAATCCTCCTGCCTCAGTCTCCCAAGAGCTGTGACTAATCAGAGCCAAGATCTTCTCTGTAGGCTGCCCCTACTCAACGGTCACCTTCCCTGCCTTCTCTGGTCTGTTGTTTCTACCCAGGGCTGACTGTCATACTCCAAGCCCCTGGTCTCCATGACTGTCTGACCAAGGAGCCATATCTGTGGCTGTACCCTCCACTGAGCCACGTGCACTTTCTCTTCCCACAGTGATGGGAATCATAACCACCATGACTGCCATTGGTTTCTATGGCTTTTCACGTGGTTGCCTACCTTACGTTAGTCCTGAGCCAACACCTCCTCTACAGACCGTGGGATAGAGTGTCACAAATGCCTACAGGCTTGTCCTTAATGTTACCAGGGTCCAAATTCCACAGTAGGAGCTTTCCCTCAAGCCACCAGCATGTCCACACATGTTCACTGCATGTTGACACCTGCTAGCACCATAGCTAGTGGTTTTTTAGCCCTAGTATAACTAGAAAAGGGAGGTCATGTCCACCGGCACACCCAGAGCTTAGGCAAGGAGGAAGGGAAAAAAATGGGAGGGAACAGAAGCAGGGAAAAAAGTAGATCCAGAGGAGGATGAGAAGCACTGAAGACAGGAAAAGAGAGGTGGGAGACTCTATCAGAAGAACTTGGACACTGTTGCCAGATTTTCTGAGAGCTCACAGGGTCAAGACTGGTAAACTTAGTCCAGCACTGTAGTGAATGCCTGTACTCCTAGCTACTTAGGAGACTGAGGCAGGAGGAGCGCTTGAGTCCAGGAGTTTTGGACAAGCCTAGGCAACATAGTTCCCATTTCAAAACAAACACCAAAATGACAAAAACCAAACAAAAAGAATAAGATTGGGGAACTGTACTGGACTTCGTTTTGTCACTAAAATGAAATATCTGAGGCAAGCTACTTTAGAAAGAAAAGAGGTCGCTGGGTTCTGGTGGCTCACACCTATAATCCTTGCTACTGGGGAGGCTAAGATCAGAAGTATCACAACTTGAGGCCATTCTGGGCAAACAGCTTGAGAGACTCCATCTCCAAAACAACCAGCAAAAAATGGACTGGAGGTGTGGCTCAAGCAGTAGAGTGTCTGCCAAGTACAAAGCCCAGAGTTCAAACCCCAGTCCCACCAAAAAAAAAGACAAGGTTTATTTAGCTCACAGTTTTAGTTTTAGAAGCTGCAACACATCATGGTGGGAGTACAGGTATATGTTTGTGGGTGTTAGGGGCTCTACCCTAATCTTATTTAATCTACCCTACTCACCTCCCAAGGCCACCTGAACAGCTTAGTCAGACTAAGTTTCCACCTTCTTAATACATGACAATGGGGATTGGATTTCAACCCTGAAGCCTTTCGGGACACTGAGGTCACATCCAAACCACAGCAGGTACAGAGCCAGGGTTAAGGGGAGAAGGAGTGGCAAATAAGTTGTGGGAGAGAATGGGAAAGGGGGAAGCAGAGGAAGGGGTCTTGAGGGGGCTGCCATGGCATCAGCTGGCTTTTGGGACTGCTTCCTGTGGGGCGCTGCACAGGATAGCAATTCATCACCAGAGGGTTGGGATAATGTCAGAGGGGTTCCTCTGTGTTCTTGGAGTCCTGTGCACAATCCATTCAACAAACTTTGTGAAGAGGAGGGAAGAGAAAAAGGGTCCTGCCCTTGTAAAGCTTAAGGTCTAGTGTGAAGATCAACATAATAGATCCCTGGTGCAGCAGCATCTAAAGCAGTGTGTGTGCACGTGTGCACGTGTGTGTACAGAGTTCTAAATAACAGCAAAAGTTTACTGAGACACTATGCATCAAGCATGAGATTTACACGAATCAACCTGCTTACTTGTTTTTGTGTGGGGGGGTGGAGTTTGAACTCAGGGTTTCATACTTGCAAAACAGGTACTCTACCACTTGAGACACACCTCCAGTCCACTTTGCTCTGGTTATTTTTGGAGATGTGGGGGTAGGGTCTCTTGAACTATTTGCCCAGGCTGGCCTTGAACCACAATCTTCCCTATCTTAGCCTTCTAAGTAGTTAGGGTTTACAGGTGTGAGCCACTGGTGCCTGCTATGAGTCAACACAACACTGTGAGGAGGTCTTATGATTCCCATTTTAGAGATAAGTAAACTGAGTTAATTACTTTTTGCCATTCTGCCTCTCATGTAAACGTCATACCAAGTCTACAATTATGTGTTATTTCAATTTTATAGATGAAGAAGTAGCTATCAAAGGTTTAAGCATTTCACCCAAGGTCAACACCTCACACATGCTAAGCACATACTTCACCACTGAGGCCCCTCAAACCCCAGGACTGGAGAGAGAGAGAGAGAGGGAGAGGAGAGAGAGAGAGTGTGTGTGTGTGTGTGTGTGTGTGTGTGTGAGAGAGAGAGAGAGAGAGTTCAGTATGTAGCTTAGGCTAGCCCCGAACTCTAGATTCTCCTGCTTCAGCCTCTCTAGAGCTGGGATTATAGGCATGAACCATCATGCCCTGCCATAGTAAGAATTCTTGACCAACTGTGTCTGAGTTTTATGTCCCATGCTCAGTCTGCTGTCATCCACAGAGATAAACTACATGGCCTCTCTGTGCCTTGCCTTCACCATCCACAAATAGGAAAACCTGCCTAGTGTTACAAATATTGAAAGCTATCCTGGTCTGGTAGTTTTGGAAGAGCTACCTTTTCATGGTGAGCAGGGGAGTGTCCTCTCCTGGTAACAAATTTCAAAGCTGGCACAGGGCTCCTGGGACCCTTGCTGCACAGAAGACTTCTGGAAAATGTCATTCGTGTCTTGAGCAGATCTGACAGGCTCAGGGGAAAAAGCCTGAAATAGAACTGGCTGCCCACAGGGTTCCTCTGTGGGCTCAAGGGAGCTGTTTGTCCAGCTCTGAATAACTCATTCTATCAAGAACTTTCTGGGAATTTCCTTATGTGGCAGGGCACCTGCCCGGGGGTTTCACGGGCAGATGTGCTCTCATCATCACTGAGAGAACAGACGCTGAGGGAAAAGGTATGAAGATAGTTAAAGGTATGGAAGGTTTAAAAATCACAAGGAGATGGGTATGGTTCATTTCCATCTCTCCTGTGGCTTGGAGGAGAGGGCAGGACTTAGACTACAGCTACAGGGATTTTTTTTTTTTTTTTGATGGTTCTGGGGCTTGAACCTCAGGGCCTATACCTTGAGCCACTCCACCAGCCCTTTTTGGTGATTTTTAAATTTTTTTCCCAGATAGGGTCTCGAGAAATTATTTGCCTAGGCTGGCTTCAAACAGCAATCCTCCTGATCTCTGTCTCCTGAGTAGCTAGGATTACAGGCATGAGCTACTGGCTCCTGGCTTCAGCTACAGGGATTTATATTAGACAGAAAAAAGAACTTCCTGACAGCGTTGAGAGATGCTGGAATAAAGTATAACAGGTTGCCAGGTGCTGGTGGCTCACGCCTGTAATCCTAGCTACTCTGGAGGCAGAGATCAGGAGGATCACAGTTTGAAGCCAGCCTAGGGGTGAATAGACCCTCAAGACCCATCACAAAAAAAGGCTGGTGGAGTAGCTCAAGGTGTCAGCCCTGAGTTCAAATCCTAGTACCGAAAAAAATTCTAACAGGTTAAAGTAGCACTATCCAATAGAAATATAATGGAGCTATGAGGCTGGAGGCCAAGGGAACCTTATCTTTGATGTCCTTCTCAGACTTTACCCCCACCAGAAGCACAAAGACCCACAGCCCCCTGACAAGCTCAGAATGTACTCCGCCGGTGTTCCGTGTTCTGTTCTGCGTCTCTTAGAGATAGCCTGCCACGGACAGCAAGGGACAAGTTTCTCTCCTGGGGTGGAAAAGTTAGTCCTGTTCCTTCCACAGCACTAAAGGACAGTCTACCCAGGCAGCCAGTTGTCTTGCTGGTGTGAGTGATGGTCATCAGTGCAGCCAGGCTGGCCAGGAGCACATCTGTCTCCACTTCTGGTGTGGGGCATGCCCATTGTACCTGCACTCATCCTTCTACTAGCCCTTCCTCCAGGAATCTGCACGGCCCTCTCCATCCTGATCTTGGCATGATGTCATCTGTAAATGAGCCACCACCCCATTCACTGTCCTGTTACCTACTTTGTTTTTCTTCTGCCTTTACCACTAACCAACATTACAAATTTAGTTGCTTATTGTCTGGCTTCTGTGTCAGAATACCAATGCCAGGAGGGCAGAGACTTCATCTGGGTCACCACTGTACACACACAGCCTAGCTCAGGGTTCTGCACTGTAGCTGCTCAATAAATACTGTTTTCGGAACACAAGGGAAACTTTATTCTAAAAACTAAGGCAATGAATGAGCCATATCTCAGTATGTTATTTTTATCTTGAAATTTCTTGATTTGTAGCTGGTGCCGGTGGCCCACGCTTATAATCCTAGCTACTCAGGAGGCAGAGATCAACAGGATTGTGGTTCAAAGCCAGTGAAGGTAAATAGTTCTTGAGACCCTATCTTGAAAATACCCAACACAAAAAAAAGCTGGTGGAGTAGAGCTCTGCCTAGCAAGTGTGAGGCCCTGAGTTCAAATCCCAGAACCGCAAAAAAATGTTTTTCTTGATCTGTATCATTCACTTTGACATGGATGTGAACCACAAGATGAAGCAAGTGAGAGAAACAGCAGACATTTCCCAAGAGTCTTGGAAAGAAAAGCTTCCTCTGCTATCCTAAGGGTTCAGAATGGCTTAATCTTCCTGAGCAGTGTTCCCAGGATTCCTGCATCTCATCATCAGAGATCAAGGCAGTTATTCCTTGTCGATGATTTAGAAATTTCTTTCAGAGACGGAATCTTGCTATATTACCCAGGTTGAACCTGAACTCCTGGGCTCAAGAGGTCCTCCTACCTCACCCTCCTGAACATGGTTTTTTGAACTCTGTAACTGCTGAGTCAAAACCACAACAAAGAGGTCCAGGCACAGTGGCTCACTCCTGTAACCCTAGCTACTCGGGAGGCAAAGATCAGGATGATCACTGTTCGAGGCCAGTCAGGGCAAAAAGTTAGTGAGACCTCATCTCAGTAAGTTGGGCATGGTAAGGTGTGTCTGTTATCCTAGCAATGCAGGCAGCATAAACAGGAGGGTCTCTGTTCGCATGGCCTAGGTAAAAATGCAAAACCCTATCCTAAATATAAATAAAGCCAAAAGGCCTGGGCTGAGGTGTGGCTCAAGTGGTAGAGCACCTGCCTCGCAAGTGCAAGGCCCTGAGTTCAAACCCCAGTTTTACAAACAAAAGCAAAAAAGCAACAGTGAGATTGTGGACCAAGGTGTTAACCAGCAAAGACAACCCAGCTGAGGACACAACCAGCCTCAGAACACTCCCCAGCAATGACTGTCAGATTACAGGGATTGATTTCTTCATCCCCTAAGAAGGCAGAAGTCCGATTGCTAGAACATTCCTGTTATCCTTGCCATTGGTGGGGGGGCGGGCTGTGGGGGGAGCGGAAACCATCCTCCAGGGATGGAGGTACAGCAAGGCCTCTGGTGGACAGGAAAAGGGAAGGGCACTTTCATGCCATCCTGATGAACCCAGTTATTGGCAGGCACCCCAACCCCTGGCTGCAGAGGATACCAGGCAGAGGTAACAGTTGGAGAGCTGACTGACAGGGGCTGCGAGGGGGTCCACATACATGCACACCAAGCATGCAGGCTAATGCCCCCACAATGACACGTTCCCTCTCTCACAGCCTGGTGCAGCACCCTGACAGTTTCCAACACTGTCATACACCGTCACAACAAGGCCTGATCTATCTGCCCAGGACCCCAGAATTGGCTGCACTGCAGCCTAGCAGCTGCAGGCCCGCCAGCCCTCCCTCTCCTTCAGGGCTGGGTTTTTCCAGCCTGAGTCTCACTCCCTCTACTGCAATCTCTGGAAACTGGAGTCTGACGCGGCTGCTCCTGCCATTATTTATTTATTTCCTCTTTTCTTCCCGCCGAGACAGACCCTCCTGACAGGAGAGCTGCAGTCTGGGGACAGAGACAGAAGGAGGCTGCAGGGAGACCCAGGAGCAGAGGACACGGGGAGGCCCCCTTAGAAGCTCCCATCCACTCATCCCAGAGGCCATGAGTTCCCAGCAGGAGGCCAGGAGAGATGAGGGAGACACCAGGAAGAGGGGACAGGAGGCAGAGCTTCGGGACCAAGCCCACCTGAGCCGGCAGCGCCATATCAAACAGGCCACCCAGTTTCTGCACAAGGACTCAGCTGACCTGCTCCCCCTGGACAGCCTCAAGAGGCTTGGCACTTCCAAAGACCTGGTGAGGCATCCCTTTCCTCCCACCCCAAGGAAGCCCCCAGCCCTTTCTCTCCTCTTCCCCATGTCCTGGGGAGGAATGGGAGGACCAGAAAGGGCAGGCCCTGGCCTTCAGATTCCCCTTCCTTGCTGAGATGGGGAGGTGGGCCCACTAACCTGTGGGGTTCCCTCTGACCACCCTAGGTTCTCCATTGAGGATGTCTGGGGCCCTGGGGAGCCCTATGCTCATTGTCCAGCTCCCCCCCTTTCCCCTAAGAGCCCAAGGCTTATCTTAGGGGCACAGGGGAGCTATACCAGGTGGGAGTGGAGGCTTAGGAGACCCGGGGACCCCTGGAGCAGTCATTTGAGACCAGGAAGGCCTAGAGAACTGGCCAGTTTAGGGTTGTGACTTCCTGGCTTTCCCCAAATCTCAGACTTCCTCATGCCTACTCATTCTTTGCCTCTCCATCCCCGCTCCCCCCGCCCCCAAGCAAAGCACCAAGGGCCTCCCTACTTTTCAGGGCATTGGGCTTTCATAGGGCTCTTGCCTGGACCATCTGGTCTCCTTGGATGCACACCTCCTTTCTTCCTGGATGGAAGGGCCCTGCCAGGTTCCCTTCCTTCCAGTCCCCTGAGGGAATGGGCCAGGAAGTAACATTAAGGTAGTGGTGGTATGGGAGGCCTCTAGAGGGTCGGGCTAGCTGCAGATTCAGTCATTGCCCTATCAGAGGCACAGCTTTAGAGCGTGGGCTTTGGAGCCACCTTACCTGGAACCAGATCCTGGCTCTGCCACTTAACTAACTTGGGCAAGTCACTTTGTCTCTATGCTTGGTTTCTCCACCTGTTAAATGAGGGATAAAATCACTAGCATCTGTCTCAGAGGACCGTTGTGAGTGGATACATACTTCAGGCTCAGGGCAATGCCTGGCTTGTAGAAAGCACTAGAGAAATGTGCTTGCCATTCCTCCAGCTACAATTCCATGTAGCCTGAGAGAGGAAACACAAGGGTCCAAAAATATGGGATGGAATTCTATGGATGCTGCCTCTCCCTGGGAACCTGGAGGCAAATGCACCCTTTGCTGTCCTTCCTGACTTCGTCCTACCTTTCCATCTTTCTCCTAGCCTGGATTTCCCCTCCAGGGAGTCCCTAGCCCTATCCCAGCAGTCCCCGGAGAGGAAAAATGATGGGTTTGCCTGAGATTTCAATGCTTCCTCCTTGCAAACAGAGGAGTATGGCTGAGAAACAGGGATGGAGAAGAGGCAGGTTCTTTGGCTCCCAGGGCTGGGACCCCAGGGCCTCCACATCTACTTTCACCATCCTACATCCTTTTGACCTGGAAGCTGCCCTGTGAACACTGCTATCGCAGAGCAGCAGGCTAGACAAGAAGGCCTGTGCTTCTCATCTCTCCTCTCTGCCTTGGCACCTCCAAAATTGCTCTCTAGTAGTATCCCTTGTGACTTTGGGAGTAGAGGTGCAACAGACTGGCAGGACCCCTCCTCCTCCCTCCCTGTGATAGCCCTGGAACAAACTGCAGTGTTGGGAGAGGCCTGATGCCTGCAGCCACTGTGGGAAAAGCGAAAGAGATGGGAACTGCAGAGCCCCTCTTCCCAGCTGGTCCAGCGTTCACTTTTCCCAGGGCTGTCAGCCTGCTGCTGGCAGCAACCCCCAGGGCCTCAAGAGGCCAAGGGTATAAAAACAACCCAGGCTCCCAAGGGGAGAGGGCAGGTGGAGGAGCCCTGGAGCCTGGGAAGATAGTCCTTCCAGCAAGTACTTGAGGGCCTACTGTATGTTGAGCTAGGTCCTAGGGTATGAAGATAAGTGAGACAGACTTGATCTCCAGGGCTCTCCAGATTAGTGTTAAACAACATTTGTGGGAACCATGACCAAGGAAGCTCAGTGAAGAGGGAGGAGCAGGGAGAGCACAAAGGTAGCCAGTCCTGCACTAATTACAGGTACACATAAAATAAGTACATGTAAAATAAAGCCCTGTCCAGAACGTGTGTGGAGCCAGTCATTCGCAATCTAAGGAAAGTGAGGAACAGGGGTTTCAGGAAGGCGGGGGGGAGGGATGGGGGTGAGGGGGAGGTGGGGACAGGGGCAGCAGAGACTTGGAAGTGAAGCAGCCTGGTGGGTCAGGGTAAGCTGGGGCTGTGAGTAGTGCAGAAGAGGTGGTGGAAGATTTAGGCAGCTGGTGGTCATGTCATCTGGACTGGGGGACCACCTTAAAAAAGTGTGGACTCTGTTGCTGGGCACCAGTGGCTTACTCCTGTAATCCTAGCTACTCAGGAGGCAGAGAAGAGGAGGATTGTGGTTTGAGGCCGCCAGGGCAAATAGTCTGAGAAACCCTATCTCAAAAATATCCAACAGGCACACACACAAAAAGACTGGCAGAGTGGTTCAAGTGGTAGAGTGCCTGTCTAGCAAATGTGAGGCCCTCAGTTCAAACTCCACTAATACCAAAAGGGGGAAAAAAAAAAAAAAGCGTGGTTCTGTCACATCAGCAATCGGGGGTGGAGGTGGGGGGGGTCTTTTAGCATTTTATGCCCAGGAATAACACAGTTGATTTATGGTTACTGTAGGACTTCTCTAACTTGAATGTGTGCACAAATTACCTGGGGTCTTACTACAATGAGAGTTGGGGTTGGGGTGTGGCTCAGTGATAAGAGCACATCCCTGGCCTGTGCAAAGACCTAGGTTTAATCTCTAGCACCAAAACCAACAACACTGAAACTCTTGACTCAGTAGGTCTGAGGTTCTGCATTGTAAACAGGCTTTTAAATGCTGTTAAAAGATGCTATGAGGCCCACACCAGGAGCAGCAGGGTTTTAGAAAAGTTAGCCTGGGGCCAGTGGAGTGGAAAGGCAGTGTTCTGGAGGCATGCTCTTGTGAGCACAGGAAGGTGCCCAGGGGACCAGGAGAACTAACAACTAGACACTGTGGATCATGCCTGTAATCCTAGCTACTCAGGAGGTGGAGATTGGAGGATTAGGGTTTTGCCAGCCTGGCCAAAAAGTTCCTGAGACTCTCATCTCTACCAGTAAAGCTGGGCATGGTGGTGCACACCTGTCATCCCCGCTGCGTGGGAAGTGTAAATGTGAGACCCTACTGGAAAAATGTAAAAAGGGCCAGGTGCATGGCTCAAGCAGTAGAGTGACTGCCTAGCAAGTGTGTAGCCCTCAGTTCAAACCCCAGGACTGTCAAAAAAAAAAAAGCAGTACATGGAAAGGGGGAGATAGGGGATGGGGGATTCTTCAGGCTTTGGCCAATCACTTGGCAGTGACTGGACGGGGTGAGGGAGGCCAAGGATGGCCCCAGCATTGTTCTTTCACATCATTAACCCTGGGATCTGCAGCCCATTTTAGGATGAGACTAGAGGGGGAAAAAGACAAAGCTCCTAGTCCTCTCCCACTGAAGTATCTGTTGGAGAAACCGCTTTCCCCAAACATAGTACTAGTTCCTAAGATGGCCCTCAGCCAGTAAGCGAGTATAAAGTAGAATGTGGCCTCTTTCCCCTTTCCATTCTTCATTGCCGAGCAACCACTGGGGTCCCAAAACAATGGCATGATTTGATCTTGGGGATCCCTCTGCTCTAAGTACCTGGTTGCTGGTGTCCTTGATTGGCTCCTGCCGCTTTCTTACTGAGAATCAGGTCTGGGGTGGTGACCCTGGTGTGCAGGGTACAGGGTTGGGGAACTGAGTAGCCCGGATCCTTGGGCTTAGACCTGCCTGCCTTGTTTTGTGATGGAGCCAGCAGCCGCACAGCGTGATCCAAAGACGCCTGGTGGAAGGGAACCAGAGTTGGCTTCAGGGGGAGTCTCCACTTGTGCAGGAGGTGATCTGTGGCCAGGACAGCAAGAGGAAAAGCAGGGGGACAGAGGTTCCAGCTCTTCTAGTCAACTGCAAGGTGAGAGGCTTCCCAGGGCATGGCCTGAGCCTGTTCTCCTTTCAGCCCCGGCCGGCAAGGGAGGGAGGGAGAAAAGGCGCTCTTAGCCTAAACCTAAAAATAGGAACCCTGCACTTTCTTCTCTGCCTCAACTCATCTTCTCTCTGTGCAGTTCCATCTGCCAGCACCATTACACTATGGTCTCCTCCCCGTATCAAAGCACACTTAAATGTGAACAAGGAAGCACCCTTCATTCCCAAAGATGTGTGCATGCATGGTAAACGCAACTCTCTTTGCAAAACCAAAAGCTCAGGTTCCAAGATGAAGGACTCCTTGTCTCTTGAGCCACTGCATGGCCCACTCACCATTGGCCCCTTACGGTTAATGCCCATCGCTCCTGTGCCTAGAGGGCTATCTGCCTGCTCTCCACGCACCTGATGTCCACTTTCTACAATCTTTAAAGGCCCAGCTCAGATGTCACCTGTCCTTGAAAGCTTTTCTCCATTCTCTAGTAGGGAACAGCTTTTTCTTCCTCTCAGCCTCTTAGGAACTTGACTTAGAATTCTTTCATGGACCTTAAAATGTTCCACTAACAATGAATGCTAAATGCAGCACCCATTGATGTACCTACTGGCAATACGCCTCATGCACAGTAGACTCAGAAAATACTTGGAATGAAATATTTTCTCACACGTATGCATCCAAGTGTATACCAAATGTCTTGTTCACATCCCAAAGAAAGTGAACTTGTCTCCCCCTTTCCAGCGGTAGGTATCCACATCTGAGTTGGGCTGGGAGGGACCTGGCTCAAGTTGTAGAGCAACTGCTCAGCAAGACTGAGGCCCTGAGTTCAAGCCTCAGCACCACCAAAAAATTTTTAGAACGTGTATATATATATATGCATGCTTCATGCCCCTCCTTTTTAAGTCCTAACCCTGAGTTCCCTATCAAGAGGCCCTCAACCTCTCCAGGATTTCCTAGCTTGCACACTCGTCCTGTGAGGTTTCCTTTCTATTTTTAGGCAATACTGTTTTTCTGGGGTGGGGTGGAACTGGGGTTTGAACTCAGGGCTTCACACCTGCAAAACAAGTGGACCTCCAGTCCATTTTGCTCTGGCTGTTTTTGGAAATGGAGTGTTGTGTACTATTTGCCCAGTCTGGCCTTGAACCACAGTCCTCCTGCTGTCAGCCTCCCAAGTAGTTAGGATTACAGGAGTGAGCCACTGGTGTCCAGGTGACAGTACTGGAGCTGGAACTCAGGGTCTTGTGCTTGCTAGACAGGTGCTCTACCACTTGAGCCATGCCCTCAACCCTTTTTTGTTTTGTTTTCAGACAGGGTCCTGCACTTTTTGCTTGGGCCAGCCTTGGACTGTGATCCTCCTACATATGCAGGTGTGAACCACCACACCCAGCTTGTTTGTAGAGATGGAGTCTCACTAACTTTTTGCAATCTTCCAGCCCTCTGCTTCCCCAGTAACTGGGATTATCCACTTCCTTTTTTTGATTCCTTTACCTGAGAGTCAGTTTTGCCTGCTGAACCCATACAAATCACTTTTGAAGACTGGGTTAATTGTCTCTACTCATTTCTCAAAGGGAATTGTCAAAGGGCAGGGAAAGTTGAAGGCTCCAGCCCAATTCCTTGTCCTGGTTATTGCTAATCCACTGCATTCCCTCTTCCTCAGTGCCAGGGTCAGGTGCTTAGAGTGGCTGTGGACACAGGCGCCTTGTACAATCAGATCTCCATCGGATGCCTCAGCCGCCTGGGGTAAGAGTGTGACCCAAACAGGTGGATGGGAAATGGGGTTTCTTTTGGGGGTGATGAAAATATTCTCTAAGTAGCTAGTGGCGATGGTTGCACACTGTGAATAAACTAAGCCCACTGAATTGTACACTTTAAAAGAGAAATTTCATGGTATATGAACTACAGCTCAATAAAGCTGTTATTTTCAAAAAGAAAAGAGAGGCTGGGTGGCTGTGGCAGGGAAGACAAGTTTAGCCCCACACAGGTCAGGGACCAGAAGAGGACACAGATTAATATTAGCTGATAACCATGGTGAGATTGGGGTGGAGGATGTGGTGGCTAAAATCCTTGCTTCCCAACCACAGGTTAGGGAAGAGAGTCCCAAAAGCCCCAGGCGGGGACCTGACACTTGGGCCCCCAACCCAGGTGGAGCAACTGGAGCTGCAACTGGGGCAGGAGACTGTGGCATGCTCAGCCCAGGTGGTGGGTGAGTCCTCTCTGCATCAACATGGGCTTCTCACCTCTTCCACCTTTCCCCTCTGTGTGGGGCAAAGGCAGAGCCTCTCAGCACAAGGAATCCCCAAAGACTCTGATTATCCCTGACTCTGGACCTGGGGAGTGGGGTGCACAGGGCAGGGATGAGCACCAAGAGGAAGGTGCCAGTGACCATGAACAGCTTCTTCTGTTTCTCAACTGTTTCTGCAGATGTGGAAAGCCCTGAATTCTGCCTGGGACTGCAAACTCTGCTTTCCCTCAAGGTAAGGTACCCACACTTGGGCCTGACCCAAAATGCTGGGAAAAAAGGTAGAAAGCACGGGAGGAAGCATGGTCAGGCTGAGGAGAAAGATGGGCCACTTCACCTGTGCTTCCAAAGAGGTTCCTCAGTTATGCCCAAGAGGAACAAAGAGACTGGGTCCCCCTGACAGGGTCCACGTGAATGGGAGCAGGGGGAGGAGCAAAGAGCTGGAAAAAGGTTGGGAAGAGGGAGGGAGAGCCCAGGGGCGGGTTGGCAGGGAGGTGACCACACATCCCGGGCCCCACACTGCACAGTGCTGCATCGACTTGGAACGTGGAGTGCTGCGACTGAAAGCCCCCTTCTCGGAGCTGCCCTTCCTGCCTCTGTACCAAGAGCCTGGCCAGTGACTGCTGTCCCAGGCAATCCCCAAGGGGATACCATGCCTTAGGGGAAAGAGCTGGTGGGGAGCAGGGCACTGCCTGAACTGGGCAGCTGGGGACTGCTGTTGTCTGTCCCTTTTCTCACTGCTGATGCCCACTGTCCCTTTTCTCTTAGTCAGCTACTTTCCTCTCTGCTTCTCAGTGGCTGTCCTGTACCCCAGGAGTTTCCACTAAGAGGTTCATGATTCTGGGGTTCTCGCTTCCCTGTTCTCTCATGCCCCTCCCAAAAAAGAGCAAAGCCAAGTCAGGGCTGCAAAAAGGGACCTAAGCAGAATGGCTTCCCTTGGCCATTGGAGTCAAAGACTGCAGTCAACTGCTGTCACCAGCTTCCAACCCTACCCCAAACTCTCCTTACTGCCCTATCCCCTGTCTCTCACTTCATCTCTGGGGCTCATTGTCTTCCACAATTAGACAGCCACACTGTCTAATTGTCTAATTGCCCAGGGCCCCAGACTCCAATACTGTCCTTCTGATTCTGCACACATTCCCAGCTGAATGGGGGGAAGACAGAAAATGGAACCATTCAGTACAAGAAGGGGAGTTAGTACAGGATGTCCTACCCACAGGCTGAAGACTTTCATTACTTCCCTTTCTGGCTGCAGACCTCTGAGGCCAGTTACTGATTGATTACCCTGCGCAGAAACTTGGGTATGCTTCAAATACTTTCTTTGGATACTAAGCCTTTTCCATTTGCTTTTGTACCCATGGGTTCCTGAGTGTTTGGAGAGTGCATAGAAAAACTCTAGGGAGAGCCACCCTACAAGGGGGGCAGGATGGTGGGGCTGTCAGCACCCACACTTATACCATTCAGTGTTCTTTCTCATTTCTAGAACTATCCACCTCCTTAGGCCTGGTTCCTCCTTCTCTCTGGTCTCTGACTTGAGCTTGTCTTGTCCTGGACTCAGTGGCTTTCTATCCCCTGCCAGGCTCAGGGCCAAGGCTAACTTCATTGTGAAGAGAAGAATCCAAACCTTAGGAAGGCGCACCCCAAAGTGTCTGTCTAACTGCTCTGAATCTCCAGTCATGGTTAGGAGTAGAGCAAGACAATGGTATAACCAACCTGAACAGGGAGCTGAATCTTGAGCCTGGGGTGGACTAGATTAGAGAAAAATCAGGATGCAAGGAGCCACCTGTGGTCCCTGCCCTCAGGAGAGCAGGCGCTTGCTTAGCACGTGTGTCATGGTACCTGGTCTCAACTCTAAAAGGACTTCCCCCCTCACCCGCTGCCTGGCCCTAGGCCCTCTGCTCCTTCTCCTGTCTGCCTCCTGCTGCTTCTGTAATGACAGACCCCAGGCCCAGGGCAGAGCCTTAGCCAACTGCTTCTCCATTTGAATAAACATGCTTCTCTATGTATCTTCTTCTCTGGTCTTCCTGCCCCCTACTGGGAGCTAGTGGTAGCTCAGTCCTCATTCTCTATGGGAAGGAAGGACGAATGTGGGTTCTTCCCCAGGTTAACCCATCAGACCTTGTGAATTGTTATTTTACATTGCACTTGGTACACATGTATGCACACAATTGTGACAAAACAATACTTACCTACACTGTGAGCAATGGACTGACATTTTCTATTGAATTTTATTCTACTTCATTTACTTCAAAAATCCTGTCCACAACCCATGAAGGATTACCACCTACAACTTAAGAAACACTGATTTAGAGCACAGAGAATCAAGAGCAGATAGATCATAAATGGCTCAAGATATAGTTCTGATTATGGTCTGGATCATAAACCTACATCAAATTGTAAACATTATCATCTTATAGACAATTAGATGTACTGGGGAGAAACAGGTGGGTAGGGAGATGGAAGCAAGGCCTGTCAAGCTGCACAGAACTGTGGCTCAGTGGTACAGCACTTACTTAGCATATGCAAGACCCTGGGCTCCATCCCCAGCACCTAAAAATAAATATGTAAAATGAGAAAGCCCTGACACAGCTACTTCAGTAAATGAAGAAACATCACCCCAGGGTTGTTGGGACATAAGTAAGATCAGACTGTAAAATGTCCTGAAAAATGCCTTAAAACATACAGACTATTAGTAATAATTATTAACACCAAGGACCTAGAGCTGTGCAAAAGGTGGTGCTTAGCCCTGGGGGGCAGCCCTTCCCTCTACTACTGCCCTGGGTCTGAAGCGTGGCCTCCTTGTAGTTGTTGGGCCACGTGAGAGACTCATTGCCTGTTCTCACAAATAGGGAGAGAGCAAGGAGATCAGATAGGGAGGTGGGGGATCCTGCAAGATCCTGAACAAGTCTGGATCCTGTGACCCACCTGATGTTACCAATAGGTCCATGAGGAAATGGGCAGAGGGTCAACTTGTCTCTTCATTCACCAAAGACTGTGAGGTCTGTAGGTTTACAGTCATCCCAGGGTCACCACCATTCTTCCATGCCAGTAATTAAATCCTACTCCTCATAATGTACATTCCTTATCCTGCCAAGACCACGGATGACTCTGGGGTGGGGCAGGGGTACAGAAGGATCCTTTAGCAACTAAAAGGCAGAGCCCAGCTAGGTGGGGTCCTGGAGGCTTGATGGAGCACACTGTGGTGGCTGATCTGGGTGGTAGAGTGTCTGGTGAAGCAGGCTTCGGGCCGCAGGAAGGTCATCAGGATCTGAGGGCCAAAGGGGGGCTGGTGAAAGGCTGTAGGACCTCTGGACACCTGGTCCCTGGCTTTGCTGGGACTCACCCACGCCCAGCTCCTGCAACAGGATGCGGTATTCCGGCTCAGCCTCCAGCAGCTTCAGCAGATTGGTGGACTCCATCCTCTCCAGCTGCACCTCCCAGTATACATAGATCTTCTGGTTGAAAGTGACGTACACAAGGCAGGGGCTGTTGTGGCCCTCTTTGCAGGCGTACAGGCCTGAGAGATGGGGGCGATGAGAAAAAGGTCAAGTTCCAATCCCAGTGGTGGGAGGGCAAGAGCAAGACACAGACACAGAGTCAGCGGTTTCCACCCTCCCACAGATGTTAATCAACCAATAAAGGCCCACTTCCTACTTCTTCTCTATTGGGAGCTCAGTAATATAGGTAAAACAGGAAACTACCTGACTCATCCCACATATGGAAAAGCCATAGTAAACCAGTCAGAGTAGCATCCCAAAAGGTGGTATCTGTGGTGCTCCCATCTTACTGATGTCCCTGGAGTAATGGGAGCCAGCCCTGCTAATCCAAGGGGTAGATTAGCAAAATTGAATTAGAAAAAAAGGTTTTGCTTATGTGTTAATCCTTTCTTCCAAGGCACATAAGTCAACCTTTCAGGTAACATGGGTATGTACTCCAGAGAATGGTTCAGTTCCTGTCACTTTATTTTCTGTTACGGTGGACACTGAACTCAGGGCCTTGTGCACGTTAGGCAAGCACTCTACTACTGAGCTGCACTCCTGCCCCAGCCCTTTTCATTTTAGTAACCAGACATGTTTCCTAGTCACCCAAAATGGTGCTTTCCAAGGTCTACAATTTGGGACTAAAAACAATATTCTAGGAGAATTTTCTTCAGTCTTCTCACATCTGAGACAGATGATAACTCATACCATTCTTTAAAATATTCAGAGATCAAGATCCCACTGTCATTTTTTTCAGTCCTAGAGATTGAATTCAGGGCCACGTTCTACATGAACCACATTCCCAACATTCTCATTGTCTTTTATTTCTTTTTATTTAAAACTGACAAGATGGCAACATGGTACCCACCCAGCACCCACTAATGAAAGCTGAGTAACTTACTCATTTATGAAGACTGTCATTAGAGATTATGCTGAGAGTGGAAATGAGAGGCAAACATTTATCCAGCACATCCAAGTGGCTGACCTAACATACATGAGCTCAGAGAGGGGCCTGGGACAGGGTCCCACCTGCACAGAAGGCACGGATATTTTCATCCACTTGGAAGCGGACAACAGTACGGTTGTGATCAATGATGTATGTCTGTCCATCCCAGGCACATGCTACCACCTCCTCATGCCCATTGCCCTGAAAAAGGTCAGAGAAAAGGATGCAAGAAGGGTGAGGAGCTGTTTTAGAAAGAGATCTACCTGGGCATTATGGTGCATGCCTGTATTCCCAGCACTCAGGAGACTGAAGCAGGAAGATTGCAAGTTCAAGGCCAGCCTGGACTACACATTGAGATCCAAGCCAGGCTGGGCTATATAACAAAACCCTACCTCAAAACACCAAAATGGCCAGGTGCAAGTGGCTTACACCTGTAATCCTAGCTACTTGGTAGGCTGAGATCAGAAGAATTGTGGTTTGAACCCAACCCGGGGCAAACAGTTCATGAGACCTCATCTCCAAAATAACCCAAGAAAAATGGAGGTGTGTTCCATTTTTCCTTTCTGGAAGTGTAGCTCAAGAGTAGAGCATGTGTTTTGCAAACATGAAGCCCTGAGTTTAAACCCCAGTCACACCAAAAAAAAA